CCACGTACATCTTGTGTTTGCTTTCCTATCTCTATCCATTTATATACTTATCCACACTAATGACCGGAGCAATCTAGCGAAGATCACAAAAAGCGACCGTTTTCGTTACCTATGATCTATCTTGCAAGAGAGAACGGAGAATTAGATGGAGATCTCAACCATAGAATACGAGCTGGATGGAAAGAGTGCATCCGACGTGTTGTGTGACCGTCGTAGGCCACTGAAGCTCAAGGGAAAATTTTATAGGACGGCAATAAGGCCAGCGATGTTGTATGGCAGAGAATGTTGGGTGGTGAAGCATCAACACGTACACAAAATGGGTGTAGCGGAGATGAGGATGCTTCGTGGGATGTGTGGGCACACGAGAAAGGATAAGATTGGGAATGAGGATATCCGAGGTACAGTAGGAGTAGCCGAAATTGTAGGAAAGATGAGAGAAAATCGGCTCTGGTGATTTGGACATGTGCAAAGAAGGCCGACTGACGCTCCGGTTCGAAGATGTGACTACGGGACAGAGGTTCAGGGCCGAAGGGGTAGAGGAAGACCTAGGAAAACTTTGGAAGAGACTCTAAGAAAAGACTTAGAGTACTTGGATCTAACGGAGGACATGACACAAAACCGAGCGCAATGGCGTTCTAGGATTCATATAGCCGACCCCACTTAGTGGGAAAAGGCTTTGTTGTTGTTGTTGTTGTTGTTGTTGTTGTTGTAGTCTTCAGCATAAAGCAACACTGCGCCTACACGCCACCACCAAATTTGGTGTTAAAGATATTTTTCAGTTACTACGGATTTGGGCTTATCTATCCCTATGCATCTCAGAATAGATCACACCCCATTGATCTTCGGAATGATGCCTACCTTGTGGGTTCGCTGAATCAGACCATCTGTCTGATTGCACAAGGTACGTTCCCGCATGGTTATTTCTTTACCATTAAGGAACACCGTAATATCTCAGAGGTCAACCAGATAGACCTTTGTTGCGAAACCTTTGAATCGTTCCAAGACTCACTGTATCTTATCACGTGAGAGATGTAGTCGAGAACTCTTGTTGAGCATATTCAAAATCACTGTGTTTTTCATCCATCGTTAAGTCCCAATAACGATCCATGAAGACAACATTGTATGTATCGACCAGATCATGATACATCCAACAGGTCAACACCAAGCATATTGTGTCTACATCAGCATGAGCATTAGAAGATTGAAGTCAAGCAGTCCAATCCTAGACAACCTTGCCGACATTTACACGGAGTCACTGCCAAAGTCTACCTTGCAAAAGCTTGTCCAAAGATTTGGTATGCGTAACTTTCTCATTTGTGATGCTTGTAGTTTCATTTGGAAGTTTTGTCAAACTTAAGGGGAGTATCCAGAAGTATACTCACTTGACCTTAATGTTCTCTTTTTCCTATGATTAGGAGCATTTTTTCACTGGGTTTTTGCTACCTAATTAGGTTTTGACGAGGCACGCACCCTAGGTTGTTCATACCCTTGTGAGCTCTTCTACTTGCATCCAGAAGACGTATAGTTTTGACTTAATGCAACTTCTTACTTTTCTCCTTTAACTATGAGCTTTTGTCCCACCTTGGGTTTTGCCATAGCGAGGTTTTGAAAGTTTTACCACCCATTCATTCTTCAGTTCGTTTTGAGACTCGCATTCGCTACTTGTGCTGACTAGACGAGATGACTTCATCCACTGCTTCTACATTTGCCTGAAGATCTGATGCGCCATCTACTTGAGTATTTGCACACTCAAGGGGGAGTGTTGTGACATATGTTCTTATCAATATGTGATTGTGTAAATCCTAAATAGAGATAGAATAGGAATCATTTAGGATCTAGAAGATCTTTCCTAATATACTTTGTATTACTTGGAGAGCAAGTTTCTCTCTTTCTTATTACTATAAATAAAGGCACAAGGACTATGGAATTAACACACAATTCCTCAAGCCTATTCTTCAATCTCTTTCTCTTCCCTTTGCAGCACCTCTCTATTAAATATAGGCCACAACATAAACTACATATTAATAAAACTTTCTTTGTCAACCAGAAGAGGGTGAAAAGACTATTTAGTCTTCTATCACAACAAAAAGGTTAAGGGCAGTAAAGTAATTTGACAAAACAAAATTTTGCTTTTTTTGTTTAAGTCTGACCTATAAGTGATTTTAACATCTCTAATATTAAAAATAAATAAATAAACCTCTCTCCCTCTCTCCCTCTCTCCCTCTCTCTCCACTCTCATGTTCTCTCTCAATCTCTTCCTCTCTCCTTCAATTTTCAAAACAAAAATAAATTATCTCACACACACTTTGTGTGTGTGTGTGTGTGTGTGTGTGTGTGTAATAGATGGGAGGATGCATAGAGATTTAAGATAGAGTAGTGCTATATTTATCATCTATTTGTATCATCACTTTTACCATCTCTCTATAGACGTAGGATCCGTCAACGCATATAGGTTTCACCTCTATTAGAGAGATAATACATATAATGATACAAATAGATATAGGAATAATATTTCTTTTTAAGATATATAACTAGTTAGATGTATATTATTTTTCCAATAGAGATTTGAACTATCTCAACATGTTTGTACTGGTGGGAGAATGAAGTAAACCTCCCCATTATATGCATGATTTTCCTCCACACCAATATAATGCCACCTTGGTGGGAGAAAGAAGTAACCTCCCATTATATGCTTTTCTCCTAACCAATATAATGCGACCTTCCACCTGTTTATATAGGCGAGTCTCACTTTCATATACAACTCAATTTGTCAAAGATGTATGATCAACAATGATGGCATCTACATATGGTAGAAATGCTTCTACCATTTCCATTTGTCTTTGATATTTTTCTTTCTTTCTTTCTTTGGATTACGATTGAAATCCGGTTGCTTCAGTATTGTTGGTATTAACTTATTAGAACTTATCAGAGTCGAGTTATGTGGCCTCGCTCATCAACGATGATTTGATTTGGTCTCTCTTTTGGCAATGACATTTTGTGTGCCTCATTTTAGGTCTGTTACATCTGTGTTTTGGTGATAGAGTTGTCCCGTTGGTGCTTATGTTGGTGCCGAGATGCAAATATCTCTAGACCAATGAATTGGCCACCAAAAAAATGTATCATTGTGACAACCCTTGTAATTGTTTTTATTCATTAATGAAAATGCTATCGGTTCTTTTTGTAAAAAAAGAAAAAAGAAAAAAGAGACATGCATACAAATTTAGTGCAAGTGTTTATGGGTTAAAGTCGATGACTCAATTAAAATGTATGAATATCTCCTTAATTAAGAAGACCAACAGGAGTTGGGATGGTTTAATAAGAAAGTATAAATACTTGATCCACTCACATTTCGAAGTGAGAGTGTGAGTCCCTTTGCCACCACCTTGAATAAAAACAAAGAAAATATGACCCACATGCCCACAATTGTAAAGAATAAAACAAAAGAAGAAAGAAAAGCAAATAAATAAATATGGAGTATGTGATCTAACGTAGTAGCATCAAATTTGCACCAATTAAACTTGCTAGCTAGCTAGTTATACAATTATATGTGCACATAGCAGATTAGACTTGCTTAGGTGCCCGGTTAGGCATCTTTTAGGTCGTGACTCTCACTTAAACATAAATTAGACAACTTTTATTTTGCATTTTATTTTTGAATAAATTGTGAAGAGACTTGTTGTACTTAGATGAACGCACATTATATGCTTATTTTTTATGTTTTTATTCTATTTTATACTTTATGATTTATATGTCGTTTTATTTTACAATTTATATATCTTAATGCAAATATGTATTTTTTTAAGTATAACCGGACACTTATTTATACGATATATAATAATTTATCTAAATCTGCCTACTTGGCTAGGATGGCGGCTAGCCCTTGTCCAACTAGCGCCTAGGGTCTTTTAGAACTTTATTTGTAACTAAGATATTTGAAAATGTATCTCAAGAAATTAAAGACAATGCATATACTTATAAGGAGTTGAACTACATTATTCACATGTTGATTCCAACAAAAAATTAAAGAATCCTGCATGTCATTATAAGGAGTTAGACCCACTACTTGATTGTGAAACCTGTGACTAGAAAAATATTGAAGAGGGGAAAAAAGTAAGTGTGATTTCTCACAGTAACAAGCATTGAATGAAGAGATTAAATGATTTTCTGCGAACAAAAATAGAAGAAATGCAACACTCATTAGAAGAAAAACCCACATCTACCACAGTAAATGTCTGTGATAGATTGAAATTCACCACACATATTGTGCCCGTTAGGATTCTGGATGTAATAAAAAGTTCCAACTTATACCATAGGCAAAGCACGTTGTTAATGATATAATAATTATGAACAAAGTCCGTAATAGATTAACATAATGCGCTACGACTGTTGTGGAGTACTAATCGACCACGACCAATGCCTGCTGTAAAAAAGTTTCCAAAATAATAATAATAATAATAATAAATTAAAAATTATATAAAAGAAACAATATAATTGCAAATTTACTATAATACCACATTTCATTTAGATTAATGCAGTCAAATGTATTACAAGGGGTACAAAACCAACACCACCACCACTGATTTATACTAAAAGTAAAGTCTTTCAAGTGAGGGAAGGGCAGACAATCCATCTCCCGTGAATAAAGGTAGTGTCAGTAAATAGGTCAGTTGATTACTAGAACTAACCATGTGGTTTAAAAGGCTACGAGCACGGTTAAAATCGCTTCCTTCAACATTTGTTTAATAAGAATCGTATAAGTACGTTCTGAAGCTTTCACACCAACCCTAAACATCTTTTCCACCTGTGATAACGCTTCCTTCAGTCTTCCTTCTTCGCACAACATATCTATCAAGGTATTATAAGTGTATGAGTTCGAATCAAAAATTTGAAATCAAAATTCACCATCTAGTCGGTGGTGATGATGGGATCGTTGACAGCAACGAACTCAACATCGTTCCTCTGAAGAGCGACCCTAGAAACCAATCGTCCGATTCTTCCGAACCCTTTTTCATTTCAAATCTCAATCAATTCACACATCAAATCACAGATAAACAAACCAAACATCAAAGTACAAAAAGGACGGATCGGATCATTACAGTTGATTTCGAACTTGATCTTCATGCCAGATGTTGCTGATTCATACAAACAAGAACGCACAAAAAAGGTCAAAAGGACAAAAAATATAATACAGAAGGAAAATAAAATAAAAGGCTGCAACAAAAAGGGCGAAATCGAAACCAATAATTGAGAATTAAGATCAATACCCATGATGATTGTAGAGAGAGAAAGTAAAGTCTAGAGAGGGGCATATAAGAAAACTGATGGAGGCCAGGGTTGGGCCTGAGTTGGATTGGTCTTGTTCCACCATAAAACCGTCAATTTGACCGATCACCATTGCAAGATTTGGTGCAGTTCAGTTGAGTAACACTCTATCCGGTGGGAGAATACATCGGAACCAAAATGGTAGACCAGATTATATTCTAATTTCAACCATCAGCCTTGAGAATGTAGACAGGTGGGAATGGAGGTTGGCGCCGCTGCTTGCGGCTATAGAGTGAGATCGAAACTCTATTGACGGTTGCTCAGCCATGAGGCATCATATCTTTACTAATTAATAAAACACTCATTGTCAATTAAAACCTTATGAAATTAATAGTTTAACTCTCTAATTAAAACAGAATATGAACAAAAAATATGGGGTAAAAATGTAATTTTACACAACCAATTTTTTTTTTTTTTTTTTTTGTTCAAAACCTCATCTACATGTAATCTTAACATATCTCTAATTAAAAAACAAAAAAAAAACATTCCACTTCCACATTCACTATCACTCTTCCTCTCTCCTTCTATTTCAAAAACAAAAATAAAAAATTTTCTCACACACATTGTGTATACCCATATGCTAGTATATATACAGGGAGAAGGGTTTTAGATGGTAGTGTGGGAGAGAGTGGCAACGAAAACAAAAATAAAAAAATTTCTCACACACATTGATCTAGCTTAATTAACTAGTGACGGACAACCATGGTTTCTGCAGATGCTATTCGAACTGTGGTCGGTATCATGGGTGAGTTACAAAGATATAATTTGTGTTGTATCACACATGATTGCTAGTTTAATGCCTTAATCAGCATCTTGGAACTCAAATACGTGAGATTTGTATACTTGCTGGTTCTCGTTAGAAAGAAGAAATAAACTTTAAAGTTATTTTCTTTCATTTTTCATGTGTATATATAGATTGCTTTATCATCTGAGAACCAAACTTGGTGTGAACGCCTTTGCTTATTTTCAGGAAACTTCATCGCACTCACTCTGTTCCTCTCACCAGTGTAAGCATGTTTTTTCTCCATTTCTTGAATTCAAGGCAAAATGATTTACATTTTTGAAAAACAAAAATTATTACAAACAATTATACAGGTATCAAGTTTTGTTATATATATATTATATTTAGGACCAATTTTATTTCCATATTTTTCCCTATTTGAAGGTGACAACATTCTTTGTTCGCTAAATTTGCAGCATTGAAGTAGTGTTCATTTAGCAACCGTTCCTGCTTTTAACCAATCACAGATGAACGTGCTCAATCTATGTTAATAATTTAAATTATTTGGACACGTATCTATCTATATAGTTGGGTAGAAGCAGAAGCTGCTGCTGCTGAATTTGCAGCAACCAAGTAGTGTTCTTCTGTTTTCACACACAGCGCATTAATAATTTCCATATTTTCCATTTAACTTGTAGGCAAACCTTCGTTCGAATTTGGAAAAAAGGGTCAGTGGAGCAATACTCACCAGTTCCATACCTTGCAACCCTATTTAACTGCATGGCATGGGCCCTTTACGGATTGCCTATGGTGCACCCGCACAGTATTCTATTGCTGACCATCAATACCACTGCAGTTTTCATTGAGCTTTCCTTTGTCATCATCTTCCTCATCTACGCATCTGACAAGAAGCAGAGGCTCAGAGTGTTTCTCGTGCTGCTTTCGGAGCTCGTTTTCATGGTTCTTCTGGCCTTTCTTGTTATCAAATTGGCCCACACATACAGCAAGAGGTCACTAATTGTTGGCCTAGTTTGCGTTCTAGGTAACATCGTGATGTATGCTTCACCTCTATCTGTCATGGTAAGTTGGTACCTACCCTCCTAACCATATTTATTTATTTTTCTTTTCATTTATGGTCATGATAATTGGCCCGTATCAATACTAATTTACAGTACCTGATATATTATTGATACTTGTTGAAATATCAATAAGCTAATCAATTAGATATATCGATTGACAATGTTCTAAAACTCACTCCAACTCTTGGAGTAAAACTCAAATTTAAGCTCTAAATTACAACAACTTGCTCCAATCCTTTTAAGCGAAATATGAGTTTTAACCTAAAACTCATTTCTAGGATAAATTTAACCCAGAATTCCCATGGTAGTGGCCTGGCCTACTATCTATGTGTATTTTTTTAGTTTTATATTTATAAATTCATTGAATCCAACGATTAAGATCTAATATGATCAAATCCAATGGTAAATATATATATATATATATATATATATATATCTAACGGTCTAGATTTAAATCCAACAGTTAAAAAAATTAAAAAGATATTCTTTTATGTGTTTCATATTCTTTTATAGTGTTCCACGAGTTTCATAGTGTTGGTTTAATGATTTTTCAATATTTATGTTATCTAAATATTTTTAGGTAAAATTTTCATAAAATTAAATTATGGTAGTCTACATAACTTTTTTTAAAGTTATTTTAAGAAAAAAAAATATCATAAATTTATTCTTTAAAATTTCAGGCTAAAAATTTAACCCAGAAAGGGTCAGAAAAATTGTTTCTAGGTTAAGGCCTAAAATTTATGGGTTAAAAGTAGTATCAAATATCAAATGATTTTGGGGTTAAATACCAAACAATTTTTATTTTTCTCATTTTATCATATGAGCCAGTAGCAATACTAATTTACGGGGCTTGGTATATTGTTCATGTATAGTTGTATATCAATAAACTAATATATCGACAATGGTCTACATACGCTAAATTAGTATATGATACCAACTGATTTTTTTTCCCTCATTTTTAACATATGCTAATCTATGGTGTTTTGGTGCATCTATGACAGAAATTGGTGATTACGACAAAGAGTGTGGAATACATGCCCTTTTTCCTCTCATTGTTTACCTTTCTCAATAGCGTTGCCTGGTTCACATATGCTCAGTTCCGTTTTGACATTTACTTGACTGTAACGACCTCAAACTCAAACTTTACTTATAGTAAATACTCCATCTAAGTTAATTAATCATTTCAGTTAAACAGAAAACTAAATGCATAAATAATTAAGAAGCACATTTAGCAGTTTTTAGGTTAAGTCAGTTGATCAGGGCACTACTTTTATTTTCTTACACTCAAGTTTGCATCCCTGTTTCCGTAATGGAATATATTTTTGCTAAACCAAAAATGAATGAACATGGCTCTCATATGCACATATTTTGATCAAATTAAAATGGGCCTGTGGTGTGTTCATTTTCAGATTCCGAATGGGCTGGGCTTACTTTTTGGATCAGCTCAACTGCTTCTCTATGCTACATACTACAAGAACACAAAGAGACTGATGGCAGAAAGGAAAGCCAGACAATTGTGTTTGACTGAGGTGGTTTCCGACAGAGATGAAACCAAAAAGACTGGCAGCACTCATCAGAACGGCCAGCTTCCCGCTCAGAACAACGGGACATGATCAACCCCACCATCGAAGTCTGCTGTTTGATAAGTCGAACAAGCAGGGACCCCGTCAAAGATCTACAAGTTTTAGTTCGTCTACACTACGTTACAAAATATTGTACAAATAGTTGGATTTCATGATGCATGCGTACAAGACCAAGAGTCCCGTACACATGTCATATTATGGCATGAGTGAACTTTATACTTATGCCATATGAACTAGTACTTTTTCATAATTGTATGCAACCATTTCAAACCATCAATGATCCAATTTGTTTTGCGACTGAATTTATATATATATATATATATATATATATATATATATATATAATATACATATTATTGGAGTTTTGAGTAGAAATCTCATTTTGGCTCATTGTCTCATATTGGCTACCATCAAAAGTTTTTCACACTTTATAACATTTTGTAGTTTATATAAAGCGATTGGAAAGGTGGACCTTAGAGAGCAAAATTGAGCTTGAACCTTGGATTTGGCATTTGGGCTGTGATAATTAATATATAATTAATATCAAAATATGGGTTTTGGGGCTAAGGCTCTAATAATTTAATTCAATAATTAACATTTTTTTAAATTTAGAATTTAATTATTTAATTTTTAAAGTAACAGACTCATCCCTTCGGTTGAAGTTTGAAGACAATGAAAGAACGCCTAGAGCTATGCACCCCTCTAAGCAAATGCTTCCAAAAGAAGCTTTCCATATTCATACATGTTGCGAACATGCATATGTGCATTATATATACATCCATCTACATGGCGTTTAGAACACAGGAAAACAATCTTCTTCTTACATACCAAAACCTTCTTGCTGAGAGAACTACAAAGATATACTACAAGAACCTAGTTTTTCGATGCTAGAATCCTGGTTTGATCGTTGAACCCTTGCGAAGCAGACATCCATCGAACTATAAGCACTAAGTAGATACGAAATTCTATTTCAATAATATTGCAGTACGCAAGCCTCAATTACTATTTTTACTTGTTTGATATTAATTTCGTTTATTCATAATATGCCAATTATTAAGTTGAATTTATTATTTATTAGCATATTCGCCTTTATTTCTATATATATAAATTGTCATTGATTATTGATCATTATTATGCAGGCAATATTGGTGGAGGGGGAATCAGGCACCTGATCTCGCGTCCAGTGATAAATACATTGTACCAATTGAGCTACGAGCCCGTTGTAAATTATGGCCGTATTTTGGAGTAGCTAGTGCCGTAAGCTCTTGATAATGATACTTCACAGAGAGCAAAACTGAAGCAAACCTCAAAGAATCAATACCTACACCTTGGCAAGAACAACAAATAAAATGGAAAACTTACACCTTCACTTATAACCTAACACAAGAGCTTCCGAGATGGGACATTATGTCATGAATCGAGAGTCTGATCAGATTGATGCGTGATGTTCTACAAAGTTCCAGACACTCCTGCAGGTCTGCATCACAGGGTACCAGAACTCGTTCAAGGTCATAAGCCACACATTTGATGTCGAATGTGCCCCCTTCCAGTTTTAATCTCTTTCATGTCCACAAAACCTGAACTCATCGACACGCGAAACCTAATAATGTCTTCTTTATATGTCGCCTTTATGGTTACACTCTTCATTTCTTGCCTGCCCGTGATATGTGGCATTGTGTTGGATTGCTTGGGAGCTGAATCTGAAAATGGAGGGTTTACCATGGCAATTCCGTTTCCAGGACTACCTTGGAATGAACCATGACAAGTAGAGGTACAAGCACTTGCCTCCGTTGAGCTGTTTCCCCTGTTGGATGTGTTTGAGCCTTTACCCCTGTCTCGCAGACACCTGTTATGTTCCAGAAGAAGTTCCTCGTAACTCAGCATCCGCTCATCTAGCAAATGATTGTCAATCCCAGCCCGCCCCTCTGTTCCTGGTAAAGTAGAGGTGGGCGAGTCTTTCTTTTGTCCTTAAACTTCACAAAGTTTAGAGCTTGGTGAGCCTTGTTGATTAGAACCATTTAAAATCCAAGGCCGAGAAATGGAGCCACTTGCAGTAAGAGGAGTTAAACCAAATGCTCCTTCAGCACCGTGAACTGATTCAATTACGCGCTGTAGCTTAGTGAGAGAATGGTTGATCTTCTTGATCTTGCGAGATGGCCAGCGGGAGATTCCATGATGCCTGCAAATGCGCTTCATTGTAGTGGGACAAACTGCAAAACAAGAGTTTCTTTCAAAACAACTTATCGCAATTGCTACTGAAAACCAAACATTATGATATGCGCGCGTAAGCTTACCTCCAAGACTCTTTGCAGCATCCTTAAGACTCCCTGCAAAATATTGTTGGAGAACGTCTAGACTAATTGATTTCTCTGCTTTTCCACGCTTCTTCTCCGGTTTCTTTTTTATGTCTTTATTCTCTGGGAAAGAAATATTGTTTTCTCCACCCTCGTGAACATAATTTCTCCCATCATTTGCAACATCATATCCCACCACTAACTGTGGTTTTGATGAATCTAGTTGCACCATCTCTTCTCTGTAAGGTAAGGCAGGCCCTGGTGGTGATTCCACTGAACGGGGTATCAGTATACATTGAAGTCTTGTGGCAAGCCCATTATTTTTAGAAGCTTGAACAATTTCAACTATTCCCTCCTCTTCAAGTACAATTCCAGAAGCAACACTGAGACTCCGGAAATGGTTCTTCATTATCGCCAATATAGAGCCCAACAAAGTTTGTTGTTCATGACTGTCTGTGATGCTTGGGGGCAGAAAAAATTCTAGAATGTAATCATCATTTCCAGTATGAGTGCTCTGTAAGCAGATAGCAAAAGAGCCGGCTAGCCCAAACATGCGTGCGTAGTGTGCTACAGGGTATTCAGATTTGCAGAATTGGGTAATGTCTTCGCAGAAGCATGCGTTATGGGACAAAAATGCCCTCCCAGCAACTCCTTGACCCTTGTGTAAGTGATGTTCAACGCAGGCATCTCGAAAATGCCACATATGAGCATCTACAATGTAGAATGCAACATCAGTTGTGGACATGCAGACCTGTTCCATGGAACTGCCATCAAAGCTAGTACAGCTCTTCTTCAGGCCACCGTCATAAGCCAAAACATTTCGATGCATACAGGGAACCCACGTCTGAGCAAGTGGTAATTTGTGAGTTTCACTTACCACTATCAGTATCTTCAAGATTTCAGCCAATGCAGTTTGGCGACCTTCATTGCATATTTGAATCTGGATACAAGAAGTGGCAAGCATATATCTGTGAGAACGAAGAAGGAAGAAATGAAAGAAAAGTTTCATATTTATTTTCTTGTTTTCATAAAGAACACCGTACTTAGGCACACTCGTTACTGCAGCTCACCTGCCTACTTGGATGATCCAGTATCTCTGAACTTTTCAAGCCTACTGCCTGCAGGAGAACGAAATTACGTTAGTGACAAATCTCTTCATGTTTGATTTTTACTTAAGAAACCATATTGGTAACTTCCATGGGGAGTGATTTCTGGCCCTTGATTCTCCTTTGCTTTGTTCAAACCAATGGCTAAAAAATACGGGGGATGTGCAAGAGGCTGAAAAGGGTATCCAGAAACCATTTTCTTATTCCCATTACTAAAAACAATCCGCCATGTACCATTTACCAAATTTGTAAAGCTTGTTTCAGAAGAGAACATCACACAAAATGCAATATATATGCATAGAAAAGAAAAAGAGCAACCCCCCACCTCAAGTGCTTTGCAAACCTTATCAACCTCGGGACCATAGTTGATCAAAGGAGAAATCATTATGAGCTCAAGTACACCAACACAAGACCTTCCAGAGGGCTCAAACACGGGCAAAGCTAAGGTTCCCTGAACATTGTATTGCTGAGCATGGCGAAGCCGTGCATACTCTTTAATGGAGTAGTACTGAACATTTGGAGTCCATTCTGGCAATTTATGCTGGAAAACGCGGCCAGGAAGCCCAAGAACTCCATCACTCTCCCCATCCACGGAAAACATATACATCAAACAGGCCATCCTATACTGATGAAGTCTGATACACTGTGGATCAAGGACAAAGGGCTGCCCTAAAGTTGTGAGTACATACCGATTCCCATCCTTCACTGGTGCCCAAAACTGGGCTAGAACAGGTTGGTCAGTCAATTCCTTGAGGTACCTGAGTGCTTGAGTGATCTTCTCGTTAAATAAACTATAACCATCTGAACTTTCAAGAGGTTCCAGTCCTGAAAATGGTGATGGAAGCATTCTGTTACTCTCAGTCTCTGTTGACCCTTCCGTTACGGAATTAGAATTACCTGTATTTTGTGATATTGTAAAGAGAAACATAAATGAGTGAACCTCTGGCTGCTACTCGAGACTGCAAAATGCTAAACGAACAATATCGTGATCGGTTTGTAACTGGAGGGCACAAAACAAGCCAATTAAAACTGCTTTAAATTCCTATACGAATTCTCAGACCAAAAAGAAGAAAAAAATATCCTACACAATTTTTGAATCTCCCACGTCTTTCTATTAGATGGAACTCTACAGACTTAAGGGCTTGATTGGGACTGCTTCTTTAGGAAGCACTTCTGTTCGAAAGAACTATTATAAAAATGTCAAAATTTTAATTAAAATTTCCAAATGCTTGCTACCTAAAGATGCACCTAGACTTCTCCAGAAAACGCTTCTGACCCAGAAGCGCTTTTAAGTTTATATGACGGTCATAATCAAGCACTTCAATTATCAGATAGTACTTTTAGCCCTTGTTGACCAGGAATGACAAAAATGCAACCTTTTGAGTATAACAGCTGTTTGTTTGCTGAGAAATGAGCAAAGAAAACACGTTTTGACCAATAAAAGTGATTGATGCTTATTCCAACAGAATACCATGATCAGTAAAATACCAAATCAATGTAATTAGTCCCTAATTAGAATCAAATTTAGTACAGAACCCCAGTAAAGCATTTGTTCAGCTAAGTCAAACACAAGTCATTAGACAAACTTCTAATTAATTTCTGATTCCGAAAAAACAAATTCAATAAAAAATAGAGTAAAAACAGATTAACCCGGAAAAGCAATATAAAAAAGAAAATAAAAAACTACAACTTTCCAAATAAAAACTCACATGAAACAAACTGAGAACAGTCAGAAAGAGCTTGACCAACATGCCCGGCGAGCTTATAGTCACTTTCGACATCGCCGTCGGAAAAAGCCCACAAAGGGGTACAAGGCTGGTCATTGGGCGGCAACAAAAGCGGCGACGTGGGGTAGGAGAGAAAGTGAATCGGATCCAACGGCCACAAAACGTCGAGGTCAAAATCAAAGTCCATGAGCGCATCTTCTCTTTCGTTCTTTAGGTTCGGCGGAGTGGATGGCAACATTTTCCGGGAAAGCGTTGGTTTTGTTTCGTCTTGTTTTTTTCAGTGAAAGTTGTATCTTTCTAGAAAGAAAGAGATGGGTTGTGGTAGAAAGAGAGAAGTCTACGAGCAACGGCAACAATTTGCAGCGTCTCAGTTTGATTCCATGGAATCCATGAATTGTTTTCTCTTGTTAAGTATTTTATTACAAATTGCAGTAAGCATCGGGAAAAGATCTTCTGTTGTGCAATTAACTACCAAATTGGTCCGCATTATACAAGGGACGGAAAGCCGCGTTTGGTCCGCATTATACAAGGGACGGAAAGCCGCGTATGCCTATGCAATGGGTGACGGTGCCATTCATGCGTAGTTTTTAATTTTTAATTTTTAATTTTTTATGGAGCCATTGATGCTAGCCGAGATTCACTAATGAGCGGTAGGTCTCGGGTTCGAGACTTGGGAGCAGCCTCTTCATAAATGGGGTAAGGCTAGCCGACATTCACTTCTCCCAGACCCTGCGTAAAGCAGGAACCTTGTGCACTGGGTACGACCTTTTATGGAGCCATTGATGCATAGTTGACAGTCGTTTATACAACTAAAATAGAAAAACTCATTTTATGTCGAAACTGTTTAGTAATTCATGTGGCGGCGGTGGGGATTTGGTTTATGCTGTTTCAGATTAGGGTTTTCTATTGTTTGTTTTTTCAACTTTCGAGTCTAAGCTTGTGTTGACCTCCCATTGTATCTTGGGTTGTAAATTTCATTTTGCTTGAACTTTTTATTTTATTTGTTGTTATTTATCTGACTCTTTTTAGGGTTTGTACCAATTTTTTATGTAATGGAAGTTCTTCTTGATAATTTTTTTTTTTAAAAAAAAAAGAAGACATTTTATAACTTGTTATTTTAACTATTGTTCTAAAAATCTCTGCCTAGGCTACTAGTCACTGCTCCTGATTAATTCTTAAGTGTTTAAAAATTAATAAAGGGTGCCTAAACATGCTTAGGTATTCGTCTAGCCCTCCTAGGCATCCACCTAAGTCGCGACCCTCATTTTGACAGAAAATAGGTAACTTTCATTTTACATTTTATTTTTTTAATAAAATGTAAGAGACTTATTGAATACTTGGATGAACACTAGCTCATTATATGATTGTTTCCCATGTTTTCAATATGTTCTAATACTTCATAATCTTATATGTCATTTTATTTTTGCAATTCATATATCTCTATGCAATTGTGTATTTTTTAACTATAAGAAGGAACTTATTATACGATATATAATACATTCACTTAAATCTGCCTAATCCACCTAAGTGCTAGGCCCAACTCACTGCTCGACTAGCGCCTAATGTCTTTTAGAACCTTGATTTTAACTATCGATTTATACATGCGGATGACTAAATATTGTCTTTCTAGTTTTTACCACTAGATACATGTTTAGTGTCTTCCTTTGTTCCTTATATATTCACCAACTCTCAAATCATATGAAGAGCAAAAACAAAATTATTGATGTCTGTATTTTTAGTACTTATTTCATTTTCTTGTGAGTCGCAATGATGATAAACCGTGTTATGAATTTACTTTGTAAGAAACGTGAGTTTAAGTAAACTTTAAGCTTAACATGCTGTAATTTGAATGTTTGGAGGAGAGAAATAAACTTGGAATTTGAATTAAAGACAAAATTTATAAATTGACATGTACCAATTCCTTTGTTCGGATTCATAAACATAGAAATTTAGAATTTCCACATAGAAAAAAACTTGGAATTTGGGACCTCCAATTCCCAAGTTTAAATTCCATGTAAATAGGTGTCATTTTCCAATTTCTATGATTGAGAGTTTAAAAACAAATTCCGTATTTAATTCCATTGTTCTTTTAGGTTACCCAAACAAGAAAATTCACAAATCCTATAGAATAAAATTCCATCATTTAAATTTCCGTCATTTTAAAATTCTTTAGTAATCTTAAATTTCTTCATCCAAACATAGTGTAAATGTCAATGTACTATCACATTAACAATTTTTCTTGAAAAAAAAGAGCGTTGATAAACTAATCACACTGTCTTATTTTCATACCAATTTTTTAATAAAAAAGTTTATACCAATTTTACCCTCTTGTCAAATGACATCCAAGAGCCAAAGAAAAAAGAAAGAAAGAATATTTCTCGTCTCTCTTCACCCTCAATCTGCAACTATCTCAATTCCTTCAAATAAATATTTTCTCCATTTTTCATTCCTTGATTTTTATCATATATAATAGTTGTTCAAAACATTTTACCAATAACATAATTATTTTAAAAAATTAAAACTAAAATGGGAGACCATAAGATGAGGATGAAACTTTGATAATGCGACATGAGGCTTGGTCGTCGGATTTGGAGGGGAATGGATGGGGGTTGCGTTGGGGATGTAGAGAGAAGGACGGAGAATTTTAATCCGTTGGAGATCTAGGAAGTAACTGGATTCTAGAACTCTAACTGGAATAAAATTCGGGAAAGGAGGCCTTGGTGGTGATTGGAGACTTAGTTGGGCTTATTAGCTCTAATATTTATTTTTCTGAAAAATTAAAAAAGAACTTAGATATAGATTAGAGGTTATTTTATTAGTAATAGAGGGTGATAGAATAGCATTTCAATTTTTGTAACTTTTTTTGTAAATGAAATTATAATATAGATGGGAAAATAAGACATTGTAGTGGGTCTAGCAGTACTCAAAAGAAAAGGAAATGTACAAGTAAGTGGCCACAGCCTACGAGGCAATTACTTAAAGGAAAAACTAACGAAAAGTCCAAAAAAACATCTCTTTTAACGAAAAGTCATTTTTAAAGGTATAATGAATAGTGCCAGTTAAAAAGAAAACTGTGATTTTTCGTTAAAAATGAACGGTGGAGTGTTTTGTTAAAACTCCTTTACTTGAAAGGTTTTGCTAATGGTCTGGTCCCAACTATTATTGTTTCTTGCAACAAAGTGACAAACTTTTCAGGAAAAAGAAAAAAAGCTACTAGATTAGGGAGTCTGGTAGTTTCTTAAACAAAGGAGTTCTTAGTTTTCCAAAATGTTAATTAGCTTTCTTAATGTTATGGACTAAGCTTAATTAATATTTTAGTTTGATTATCTGGAAGTTGATGTTAAAATTATAAAATACGGATGTCAAAACTAGTAATACAGTTGTTTATTTGGACATCATCGATTAGAATATTGGTTTTTTTGTATATAATTGGATCCATTAGCGATAATGACGATTCATTGCATCCACTAATATATTTGATTAATTACTAAAATGTCACTAATTTGGTGACGCAATACCATACGTTTATTTTTTCTTCCAATTGGACATGAGAAACTACGGCAAATACTCAGACGGTAGTTGTTATACAATTGGGAGGTGTTAGTGATTTGTGTGTTTTTTATTGATACACAGTGTAGTTTAGGGTATAATATTAATAGAAGGGTTCTATCACAGTTGACTTTTAAAATTAGACTTAACAATTAAAATAGTTTCGTAAATCAATTTAGTTATTGTTAATTAGTACTACGGTCTAGTGGTATTCCTTTTTACTTATAAGTGAGAAGTTTTAGATTCGATTCTCATTAAAGAATAATTTAAACCAAATTATTACTAGCCAATTATGAAGCTAAGCTCATCCCCTCCCATTTGATGTAGATAATATCGTCTTTAAAAAAAAAAATTAATTTAGTCATTGTGTCCTTCGGTCAACTTTTCTGTCAGTGTGTTGATGTGAGACACAAGTTTTAAATATTGTTTTAAAAAGATATATATATATTATTATTATTAGTTTTATCAGTTTTAGTATTCAAATCTGTTTAAAAATAATAGTTTTTTTATGATTAATCCACTTGGCACCATGTAATTGGATAGGTGAGACTCATTAGTATATCATGTCAGCACACTAACAAAAAAAATTGACGAAAATGCTACAAAATGACCAAATTGATTCAAGAGACTTAATTCCAGTGATCATTTTGATTGGAAGGTCCTTTTTTTTTTGTTGAACAAATGATACTATCTACCCTAAGAGGATAGGAGGGTAGGCTAAGTCTCACAATGAGTTAGCAATAACGTGGTTCAAATTTGTCGTTGACAAGAATCGAACCTAAAAACTTCTCACTTATAACTAAAAATCAATACTACTAAACAGTAGTACTAAGTGGCCATGATAAAACTTTATTAATAAATAATTTACGTACCAAAAACAATTGAACAATAGCATTATATGACGATGTGACGATAACCTTGGGGGCCTTTTGTGTAATCGAAATTAGCGATTCTAGTTGGCTTGTATCGATCCACTTGTCTCCTAACAAGTTCTCTTTATTGGCCCGTGCGTATAAGAATATATAAGATCCTTTTGTAGCACTTGTTCATGTCAAAAACTGGTTTGACAAGGTTCAACCGTAAATGCTTCCCACACAAAAACATATATTAACAAAGAGAGATTATTTTCACACACTTCTCTTTGTTTCTAGCCATTAAATTAAATAGATGAAATGAAAAGAACGGTCGGTCAAGCTGTGTGATATGCTAAAAAGAGTGCATGTTTCTCATTTACCTTAAAAAATGGAACTGTTATTGACATATCAAAATTTTCATTGTGCACTCCTTATAAATGTATTTTATTTTTAAATATAAAACGTTTGGAGTGACCAATGAAAATTTTAGAGTGCCAACAACAATTTTCTAAAAAATAAAAAAAACTTGAGAACTATAAGTTTTACACAAATATTTTAAGAGCTCATTTGGAGAGGAATATAAGAACCTAGTAGATTCATTGCCATATTCTAAATGATTTTTAGTAAAATTCTTCCCTTATTACCAAGACAGTTTGTTATTTTTTCCCTAAATTATAGGGTTCCAGGTTTGTTGTCCTCAAAAGTGTGTCTCATTTGTGTCTCCTTACTAATATATTGACACATGTCTTTAACTTAACTTAAAATTCAACTATGTTAACTTTATTTATTTAACATTTAAATTTAAAAAAAATCCAAAATAATAAAAAAGCTATTGGGTTATGGTGAGCAAACCCAAATAGGATTCTTCACCTTCTTTTACATGGTTGCTCAGTGCACAAACTTATCTGTTCAAGCTTTGTAGTAAAACTTGATGATGGGGCATGGCTTCTTGCTGGCAAGCAAAAGAATCACCAGACAGGATATGAAAAGCCATATTTGAAATAGTGACTGCGTAGTTATGGAGACAAGGTTGTGGGTGTAGATCGGAGCTCTAGTGACTGCGTAGTTATGGA